GAGATTCTGATGGACGGTTATGGGACATCCTCGAGGAACTACCACTTTGTCCTCTCCCGACTGTCGTCCGTAGAGTAACCCCACGTCGTACTACGTGACAGTGCCCAAAGTCACGTCCTCCCGCAATTGTACACCGCGTTCAATTTGTGTTGCCCCTCAATCAGGTGTCACTCTTCGAGCCTACCACGTGGGCTCGAATTCCACCCTCAATATATAATATTAATAACAAAATTTCGTTTCAATTTAAGTTTATGTAGTCTATAAAAATAGTAAAGATATAGTTTAGGATAAGCAAATTAAACTCACATATCATACTACTTTTTCACTCCATATTACACAAATTTAAATTGCGAGCGAAACATTGTATTTAATTATATGTGTTCTTTTGACATGTTTATTTATGAAAATTTTCAACTGGTTGATTTTTTGTTTGTATTTGACTCTGATATTTTTTTTCCTTTTTCTTATAGAAATTATATTAGACTTGAATTGCTTATATGAACTTTCTAGCAATTGTTTTGAATTGGTAAATTCAATTTGTAGAAAATTTTCATTTACTATCAAAATATAATCTTCCAACTCTCAGTTAGTAAGGGAAGAAAAAAAAAACTCAAATTACTTGGTTTTTTTAAAAATAAAAATTTTGAATTAAAAAACTAATATTCCAGGGAAATTATCAATATATGTATATATAATTTTTAATTTGAGAATAAGAATTGATCAAAGACACTTTTGTTTTGTTTTGTTTTTTTAGCTAACATTTTTGTTTCTGTTTGCCTATTAAAAATATTCATTTAAAAATTTATAAATATAGCAAAAAAAGTATATAATGAATAATCATGACTCCTCAATCGTACTCAGTACGCTTTCATATTTCCAACAAAAAAATTTCAAATTCCTAATTTAACAGCCTTCACAGATTTCTCAAGACAATAATCATTAATCTACTGAAATATATATATATATGTGCAATTATTGCTAGTTTAATTTAATCAGTCAAAGTATTAGTAATTTAAATTGTAATACTTCATAAAGAAAAATATATAAACGGTATTTGCCTAAAAAAAAAAGTTTGTGGAACATTTGTTATATAATTTGATTGTCCATATAGTTTTTCGTTATTATAATTAACGAAAAGCTAAACAAGGTATAATATTCTAAAAATTAAGGGTTTGTTTCATARTCATTTTAGTTTTTGGTTTTTGGTTTTTCTTCTTTTTAGTTTTTTTATTTTTGATTTTCTGTTTTCGAAAAACAAAAAGTTTGATAACCATTTGAGAAAAACTAAAACTAAAACATGTGTAGGTGCGAGCGAGGATKCTCTCCCCATTTTTGGGTTCGTGAAAATTTTTAGTCTCCGTCTCCACCTAGATCTTGGGTCTCGTGAAAATTTCTATTTTGGGACCCAATCCTGCGGAAATTTTTGTAATAAATTTTTGGAAGATCAATTTTAGAGAAATAAATAAAAATATTTTGAAAAAAATAAGTGAAAGAAAAGTTAAAACAAAAAGAGAAAAATTTTGGAGAAAAAAAATAAAAATATAAAGAAAGAAAAAAAATTATAGTGGAAACAAATTTAGACATAAAAACAAGATTCAAAATATAATTTTCATAAAAAATAAATAAATACAAAGATAAATAAAAATTAAGAAAATTAAATGGAAAAATAAAATATAACTTTTAGAGGAAAAATAGATTACAAAGAGAAAGAAAAGTTATAAAATATGAAATTTTAGTTATGAAAAAATATTAAATTTTTAGAGAGATAAATGAAACTGATCTGCTAGAAAAAAACAAAAATACATAAAAATTTGGAGGGGACAAATAACAATAAATATTCAAAATATGAAAATTTTAGAYCGAGAAAAATAAAGTTTGTAGAGAGAAATTTAAAAATAAAAAAATTAGAGTGAAAAATAATTTTTTTAGAGATAAATATGAGAAATAAAAAAAATTGAGTATTAGAAGAAAAATGAGATTTTGAAAAACAAAACCGTTTTTTGAAAACTATTTTTTTTTTTTGAAATTTACATAAAATTTCAAAATGGTTTTTGAAAAACAAAAAACTAGAAAATTGAATTGTTATCAAACAATCATGTTTTTKAAAAACTAAAAACAAGCAGCGAAAGGGTTATTAAACGATCCTACTTAAAAGTTTTGATATTCAATGATAAATAAATATAATATTGTAATACATACAAATTTATTTATTTGTTAACTTTTTTTAGGAATGGTATTTATAAAAATTGTCAACTCCAACCTAAATTAATGATCGAAGCTAGTAAGTTACAAAAATAATTATTGAGATAATAGTAGTAATCTGTGGAAGGTTAAAATTTTCATCCTACTATTTTTTCAAATTTCTTTTTATTTATTATTATTGTYTTTTTATATAATCATAACTCAAAAATTGAATTGAAGCAACCTAACCTGCAAAGTACAGCAATTTCCGTTATTAATAAATGCTATCATTTATTAATATCTGAAATTGTTGTACAATATATCTATTCAATTTTTTTTTTTAGGAAAATATTCATTCAATTTCATTCCTTATGTACTAAAAAAAATCATTTCTTTCTAGACTTTCCGACATTAACTATTATTATTATTATTATTATTATTATTATTATTATTATTATTATTTATGTTGAACTATATTGATGTTATTAACTTATAATAGGTCACTAACTAATAGCTAGAAATTATTTAGTATAATTGATACAGTGTATCGACGTTTTTTTTTTGACAGTGAGTAGTGTGACATCTATACTCTACCATTTATCAGTTTGAGTTATAATTTAATTTTTGAACTTTTATGGTCTATAAATTTTCAAGTGTTACTTTCTAAAAATAAAAAATTTTTGGTTCTCATTGTTATTTTGCCATTAATTATTCGAGTTCAGTTCAATAACTATTTTGTTTTTTGTTTTAAATTTTTCTAAAATTAAGTGAGTAAAYATTACTTTCATCTATGAATTTTTTTTGTTTTGTATCTACTTTTTAAAAACATTTTCAAAATTAAAGCTAAAATTTGAAGAAAAAAAARAGAGGTAGTTTTCACAATTTTATTTTTGTGTTAAAATTTGGCCAAAAGTTCAAATGTGATTATAAGAAAAGTTAAAATATATTAAAGAAATTGTGATCAAATAAGCATAATTTTTAAAAATAAGAAATAAGAAATAAAATAGTTATTAAATTGGACCTCAACAAATGATAACAAAGGGAGGTGAAGCTATGTTCGGTGCAAGAAGGCTCGAGCTCCCTTGCCCGTATTTTTTAATATATGTTGACGGCGAATATTGGAGAGGTCCATGTGTCCCTCGGATAAGCAACTTCACCAAGGATCAAATAAGCCTTCAATCAGAAAATTTGACGTCAGTGCATTATCCCGCCTAATATACTCCGACGCCTAAGTTAGAAATCGGGGAAGAAAATAGGAAAAAACACATTTTTAGTGACAGATTTTTCACTTACTTGACAAAGGTGAGGGTCATTCCCTTATATAGGCTCGGGTGGTAGACTAGGAAGGACGACGGTTGGGATGGCAGAGGTGCACGGGGTTGTACGACTTCTGACGAGGAGTGTACTCCCCCAACAATTAGTGAGTGGCGCTTCCGCCTGCAGGTCTGCAACCTGTCCTCTAAAGTTGTTCGGTTGCAGTGCTCGTCGTGCTTCCCATACTGTAGGTGTGGAGGCGCACCCTTCTGCCATGCAGCATACGGTATGTAACCGCCTGTGGTCCCATGTCTCACAGATGATGACGATGTCCAGCTCAATTTTACCCTTAACATATATATATATATATTCGTTTTCGTTTTCTTAAATTTGATATATAAAAAATAGATTAAAATTGATAAATTTTTTAAAATTAATTTCAGAAAATTATTGTAATCACAGGAAAATAAACCTAATTAGCTTTCTATAGTTCAGTCCTGATAACAAATAACAAAGTTTTAAATATGGGCACATCTGAATTGGATCGAGACATATATCATTGATGTTCAAATCTATACCCTCACATATTTTTTAAACTAAACCAACAACAAAACTTTAATTTGTACTAACCAATTCATCCGACATGTAAAATAATAAATTCCTGGTCCAAATAGGTGTGGAGTGGTAGACAACAATAATAGTAATAAAAGTCATTTTATTTTCTTTTTAAAGTTGAGAAATTAAAATCTACCGCTATAAAATATATATACAAAAATTATAGTTTATCTTTTTTGACAAATAAAATAAACATTTTAAAACTTTAGATACAAAAAGAAAAATAAGGATACAAAACATTTTATAAATTTGTGCCCCGTTTAATAGATATTTTAGTTTTGATTTTTTGTTTTTAAAAATTAAGCATGCAACAGTAACTAATATATTTTGTCCTTTTGTATCTACTTTTAAAAATATTATTTAAATCTAAGCCTTAATTTAAAAACTAAAAAAAATTCCAAAAACTTGTTTTTCTTTTTTAAATTACACTAAAAGATCAAATTCACGGCATAATTTTGAAAAACAATAAACTAAAAATAAAATGGTTATCCAACGAGTGCGATATTAAATTTTGGTCGAGTCGAAATGTTGATATTTTCATCAATATTTCTACGTGTTTACAGGTTCGATATTAACATGAGAGATAAATCGATATTTTCGTAATATCACAACAACAAAAAAGTTTAACAAAATATAAAAAAATATATAAATTAATAAGAAGATAATATTAATATTAATAATTTTAACTTATTTAAAAATACGAAATATTTATTTGTTATAAATTTTTATTTTAATAATTTTTTAACGTATAGTTTGATTCACATTTCCGTCGAAATTTAAAATCCGTGTCATCCTACCAACTAATTATTTCGTTTCGAAAACATCCATGTGGAATGAATGCTGTGGTCCCCCACGCGAGACAGCATCCTCTCTCTAACGCTCCCCGAACTACTCTGACGTCATCCTCCTGACGTCACCCACCACAATATCTCTTTCCAAACTTTTCTGACGTCTCCCGAAACTCTCATGACCGCAACGACTTTCATATTCTTCTCCACTCCCACATTTACCTCACTGCCCCTGAGCTTCGCAACCTCCATCGCCCCCCGAGGGTAATCTCGTCTTTCACCCCCTWATAAATCACGCTAAGTCCACCGCGTCCACAATAACCGCAGGATTTGTTGAGACCGAAACGGCGACGGATTGGTAGCTTGATCGGGCGCCATGGAGAACGAGAACCTCCGGCCGGCGGCGGCGGAGGAGGAGGAGGAGGAGATGAAGATGGAGGCGTTCTTCGCTCTGTTGCGGAATTTTAAGGAAATGCGTGATCGCCGGAGGAAGGAGCTGACGACGATGATCGGCGACGGCGGAGAAACCGAGAAGAAGAGGAAGAAGATGAAGACGGCGCCGTCGACTTGGATTCCGACGTTTCTGAGAGAGGATTTCGATGAGGATTTTCAGGTTAGAGGACCGCCTCCGGTGCTTCCGAAGCCCTGCAATCTTATCAAGGAAGACACGCCGCCGCCGCCGCTGCCGGCAGCGGTGGCGAAGAAGAAGAATATGAAGAATGATGAGGAGTGTTTGGATCTTAATTTGGCGCTGTAGTTTTATTTAATTTCTGTAGTTGTAAAGAAATTAATTATCAGAATTCAGAAGGACGAAAGAAATTTTCTATTTTAGGGAGAATTTTTGTCGTCTTGTTTTGTTTCTTCTCTTTACGGATTTCGAAGTTACGCGCCACCGCCACCGCCACCGCCACCGCACTGAAATGGCTAACGCTTTTTTCTTCTCCGGCGAAAGGATTCTGTATATTAATTGAATTTTTAAGTGGAACGGATAAATTGAATACTTAAACATTAAAAGAATTAAACTTCTATCAGATAATATTTTTAAATGCTACGCCATTATTTCATTATTTAATTTTAGGATTAAATTTTCATTTTGTCACTCAATATTTGGTTCAAATCGCGAATCTTAACCTAACATGATACGATACATACTGACAACAACACCATATATTAATAGTTATTGTTGGGGTGATTTCTTATTGACCATGTGTCAATATATTATACGTATGAAACGTCGAGCTATCTTAGTGTGACATAGTCACATAAGACTAAGTTCTTAAAGGTAAAGTAAATCGCGTTCGGTCCTTCATTGGTCGTCTGGAACTCTCTAAAGGTAGAGCCAACCAATGAAGACGTTTACTACGTTCGTTGTTCGTTGCAATCCCTCAGCCTCTAAAGAAAGCTGAGACCTCTATAAATAGAGAGTTCCGCTTCATTTTTAAGTACAACAAAACTAATTTCATATTGAATTTAGATGGAACAAATAATAACTTAAGCATAAGAGCTATTTACTCTCTCTGTGCAAGTTCCTTTATTCATCAACCACTAGAGGATGAGCTTTGCAAAAGTTGGTCATTTTTTATCAAACAGTCATACTCGAAGCTACATCATTCATTCCGAGCTTTGTAGAAGTTGGTCATTTTTTATCAAACAGTCATACTCGAAACTACATCATTCATTCTTAAAAATCAGAGCTTGAAGCCACGCTATTTTATTCACTTATTAAAAACAAAATTAAGGTAACAACTAAACCGATTATTTAGCAAATGTTTTGAATTTTAAGTAACAAATATCTGAAAGTTTGATATTAATTTTAATAACATTACTGAGCGGAGATTTAGTTGAAAATTTTGAAAACATAATCGAAACTAAAAAGAATGGTATATACTTTATAAACCAAGTAATATATGTAGCATTTGATTTACCAAAATAATGCTTATAATATTATATTGTCATTTGATTTTTTTTTAATGAATATATTGATAGTTGAATTATGGCATTGTAGTAGGTGAATTTTGAATCACGGCAGCTAGTTAGTGAAGGACTGGTAAATTTTTGGTTTTTTGAATTGTGTGTACACTATTTATTTATTTATTTATATTTTTTTAATTGAATCTCTATCCTTTTACAACAACTTTCAACGATGGGTGTGATATTTGAAGTATTATGGAACAATATATTATGTGTGTATTTATTTTTTTCTCTTTAATTATGTGATATATGATATCTTTCGTGTCACAATAGCTTAATTATAAGGTGGTATTTCTAATTCAAGACATATTACGTGATATATGATCCAATTTGCAGCTTCACTCTCGAGTTGTGATTTCCCCTTGTGGCCAACTCGAAGGGGCTGAAGTTCGACGTAGAGCTTTTTGGTTAATCTTCTCAACACAATCAAGAGAAGTGAAAAAAGGGGGAAAAAAAGCTTTGGCAACATATTATCATTATTCATATTAAACTAGGGGAGACTTTAAGTAGTATATAATATAATTTAATTGGTTAACTATCGACATAAGAACAACTCAACTGTTTCAAGATATTAGTTACTTTTTAAGAGGTCGAAGGTTTGAAATCTCAACCTTCTTATTGATGTAAATTAAAATATCCACTCATCATTTTAAAGAGTGATTTGATGGTATCAAGATTCATGAGTTCCATCTTAAAACTAATTAGCATAATGAGGGGAGTAGTTCATATATTTATAAACCTTGTAAATCTCTTAATATTCTCGATGTCCCTTCAAGATGGTGGCTCTTTTATCCAATTTATGGATCAGATGCTCATTTGAGCTTGTTGTTCTCCGATACAATAGCAAGAATTTATGAAGTTTCATGTCAAACTAATTGGCAACAATATATGCATTTATAAACCTTGTTAAGTCTCTCGATATTTTCGATCTTTGATCCTTAACCGATGAGCGAGAACTCCTTGAAACATAAAGAAGAATAAATTAAAAAATAGTGTATACTTATTTATGAGCTTAATTAGGATGTGAAATAGTAATAAACCTAAATAATAAGGACAAACGGGAAAATGAGATTATTATTATTATTATTATTTTGCTAAGATTGAACGATGTTTTTTTTTAATAGAATATGTGAGGTGAGAGATCGAATTCACAACTTCCTAATTGAATAAATATATCACAAAACTATACTCGCTTTGGCCTAAGATTGACCGAGCTCGAATACTAGGAATGGTTCTTTTTACTAAGATTCCATGATTTTAGCTACTTAATGATGGTTGCCATTGTCATCACTTTATTATTAAAAAGAATGGATTTAATTTAGTTAAAGACAAATTGTCTTAATTTGGTACTGTGAGGTGGCCCTTCCAATTTTTTTTTTTTCCTTTTTTCTTCTGCTGTCCATACCATACCTAACGATTGGGATTTGAGAAATCTTCGTGTCCACGTTATAATTTTCTTTTCAGTTGTATAATTCTATAATGTTATTGGACCTCGTATCATTTTTAGTAGGATTAATGTGGCACTAATGAACGAGAGTAGCAGAAAATTTTTTAAATATTACAGTAGTATAAAAATATCTCATACTATACTATCATTTATTATTTACCACATATTGAAAAACAACATGACTCCGTGCAAAAATAAAATAATATATCATTTAATAAGTAGTATCCACACACACGGCCTCGTCAACGAAATTTTCTCCTAATAATTTGAAGATAATAATATTTTCCTCGGCCATCTATACCACTACTAAAAATTTGACAACCATTTTCTTTATTAATTTGTTTTTGAAAACGATTAGAAAAAAAACCATTCTTATTTCCCTTTCTTTACTCATTTTTTTGGATGGTCAAAAATTGGAGTGAGTTCTAAGCCACCCCTTAGGAAATAAATAAGAACAATATTTATAGGTACTTATAGGCGAGTAATTATCTTCTCATGGAATATCATTAAGAAGGTTACCACTAATTATTTCTTTCAAAAGAAAGAAACCTCTTTTCTCTCTCATTTTATGAATTTATCTCTACCTCTCATAGTTTGTAAAAGGCATATTGTGATCGATGGAGGATATTGATCCATGAATAATAATAATTATTCGATAAGTAATATTCATCGGAAGATTGAAGAAATAGTAACATTAACGTTTCTGAACTAATATTCGTCGTAACTTTTGGTGACTCCATGCAAAAGCAATATTAATTAATTATCTTGTGGCAAGTTTTAAGCCTGTCTCTCTTTTTTTAGTTCAACAAAATACGGGAATAAAAATTCGAACCTTCAAACTTTTGATCGCGGATAGATGTATATATATATATTTTAAGAAATATTCTCTATTTGCTTCTATGAAGGAATCACATTCACATCTTAGGATTAACATCCCTACTTTTGACTGAGTGAGTTTATGCAATACTTGCAAGTTCAAGTTATACGATTTAATGGAATATTCTTAATAAATCTTATAAACGATTTTACTTTTTTTCTTTTTTCTTTTTCCATTAGTTTGAATTTTTGTTTAATATGATTTTAATTATGAAAATCTCGACCTTAGAGGTGTCAACATCTTAGGTGGATCATCATTTGTATTTATGCTTCATTTATTTACAAGGGATCAAATGAGAATTAATAAGATAAGAATATCATCCCTTTAATGAATCAGAGTTAGAAACTATCTGATGTTATTTACTAAAATGGACTAATCATCATTAATATACCCTTTTTTTTTTTATTCATAGCTGATAACAAATACATATTATGCTAGTATTATTTTAATTAATATAATAATAAATTTTAATTATTTTATTAATAGTAAATATTTTTATTATAACAATTTATTTAATATAGACAAATAATAAATAATTAAACTAAATTTACATCCACTAAAATAATTTTTAATACAACGACCATCATTAATAAATATTATAAAATTTGATTGTTAAGATATTTAATAATAATAAATTCTATTTTAACAATTTTACTGAAATTAGTTAATAATAATAAAGTAAAATTAAAAAATTAAATAGAAAATTGCAATATTTTGAAAGAAAATTACATCAACTAATAAAAAATTGTATAATTTTTTATAAGAATAAAATTTATTAGTAATATTAATAAATAAAGAAATAACATCTCAAAGGTCATGAGTTCGAATTTCCATATTTACTAAAAAATTAAAAAAATTTAGATTGAGGAGAGAGAGAGTAAAAGTTGGAAGTAATTTTTTTCTCATACAACATGTAGGAGTGGGGGTTCAAACTCATGAACTCTTGGTCAGAGATAAATGCCTTAACTATTTGAGTTATGCTCGGTTTAGCAAAGTTGGAAGTAATTATTAAAAAAGTGTAGTAAATACGAAATGAAAATTTTGATTCTCATTCTTTAATTCTCTTAAGATAAATAAAGCCTTAATCGTTTGCCATATGTTTCGATATTAAAAATGACACTTTTAGAAAGTGACTTTAATAAGAATATTATGGATCTGTGGTACTAAAGATCCCTCCTCATATATTAACATTTTTTAATTAGTCTCACCATCTAATAATATTTTAGTATCACGACGATGAAGGCAGGACTTTATTAAACACAAAATTTAATTTTCTATCTAATTTATCTGGAAATTCTCAAAATATTTGATAGCATAAAAAAAAAGCATAGTCTAGATTTTTTTATAGTATTCATGTTTGAAAGTGATTTTTGCATGACTATAATCACTTTCATTAATATTGAAATCACTCTCATTTTATATTCGACAATGATTATGAAGTAATTTTAGAAAAATCTAATGTCACTTAAGTGATTTATGAAGTTTTAAGTTTAAAATTTGTCATTCTACTTCAACTTAAATTATGGGAAACAATTATTTTTTCTTTCTAATTTTTTTTTGTCCCTCCCTAACTTTATTTGCCTTTAATTTGGTTTATCATCTAAAATTTTCATTATCTCTCTAAGTTTGTAGTCCCCATCTTTTTTAGTACAACTTCGAGTGAAAATTCAAACCCACAAACTATTGATTGGAAATATGTGTCTTAAATCAAATTCGTCAGTCCCCACATCTTTCTAAATTTATTTCTCCCTCTAAAATTTTTGTCTCCCACTCCCTAAAATTTATCCTTAGAAGATTTTTGTTCATTTCTAAAAATTTTGTCAAAATCTATATCTTTATTTCAAATATTGATCATTCAAAATCACTTTTACTTATATGAAAATCAATTAAACAAATGTATAACCAAACATTAAAATAATTATATAAAAATAATTTTAACAAAATTATTAAATCTCCTTTTTTTTAATTAGATTTACTCATTCTAGATTTTTTAAAAAATATTTTTTACAATTTCTATATGTTATTTATTTCTTATGGGCCTTTTGTGAGCATGAAGAGTTCTACTAAATGGGCCGGCTTTTCGCTATATAGAAAGTGGCAAAAGACAGAAAAGCCCCCATTATTTATACTGTATTATTATTATTATTTCTTTTTTTACGCGTCTTTTCAAAGCGGAAGTTTCGAACGTGAACTACGAGGCTCCGGCTCTCCCACTGCCATGGCCGCCACAGTAATCAAGCCCGCCGCGCTTCTTCCTCTTTCCCCTTTCCCGGAGCTCTTGCTTTCCACTTCCACTTCCACTTCCACTGCCATCATCACTCCCAACTTCACCAGGTTTTCTCACTTCACCGTCGCCAAGAAGCGCCCTACTAGGCAGATTCTCCCCGTGGTCAAAGCCCAAGGCTCTCTCGGTATGAATCGCATTTCAAACTGATCTTAGTTTCTCCAGCATTTTCCGCCGGTTCTTAATTTCCAGTATGTGATTTTGTTGCCGTCTCTCCTGTAGAGTATGTGCCTGATTCGAAATTTTACAAAGTGGAGGCGATTCTCAGGTACGGAGTTCGGAAGTGTTGATTTATCATTTTTCTTTTTGCCTTTCGATCTTTTGAAGTGTTTTGAGTAACCTTGCTGAGTTTACTGCATCTGATTCCGGTTTATCTGTGCTATGTTGGTGCGTTTGGACGTGATAGGCCGTGGAGAATCCAAAATGTTTCTTCGGTAAGAGCTAATTAACCTCGAACACGGTCATTACTTAACATTTAGATTATGCAAATTCTCGTTGTTTTATTGTCAGATGTGAAATAGTTATGTATGCATACTTGAACTTCGAATGGATGGTCAATATGGTAAAACTAGGACATTTTGAAACTATAGGGGAACATAATTATAGGAACTTTGACTTTTTGGCATCAGAGGAAGCAAGTTTAGGATCACAATATTAAGGCCGTTCAAGGGAGGGAAAAATTACCAGTTGCGTTGGTTACTTTGGATACGTATCATACTTGCATGTCATAGATTAAAAAAGGCTAATCTACTTTATGAAGTCTTGCATCGGTGCTCGTCCAGCCAAAAAGAATCAAACAAAGATATATGCTCATGGTAGTGACTTATATCTTGTTAAGAACCTTTCAAACTTCAACCTGTCATATCTGACAAAGACGTGCATTTACCATCCAACTGCAAGTGTAGCTTGCATTGTACATGTTTGAATGGTAACAGAAGGATGGAAATTATGCAAATTTCTGTTGTTTTTGAGATTCTATTTTATAAAGTGTTGGCATCGAATAGTTCTTTTGTTTCTTGAAAAAAAAATGAAGGCATTGCTGAAAATGGGTATCCGAGGTGTAACAGTATCTGATGTGAGGGGCTTTGGGTCTCAAGGTGGATCCACAGAGAGACAGGGTGGTAAGTTCATATCTTTCATATCTCTGTTTCTTGTTTTAAAAAAAAAAAAAGAAGCCAATATCTTTCATTATTCTCTCTGCTGGGGTGCATGGTGCATGGTGTGGGGAATCTAGATGTACATGTTATTGTTCTGTTTCTAGACTCCCATATCCTTTCTCATTAGAGATGTTTGTCTATGATTTCATAAAACTTTACTATCTTTTACTTACTCTTCAGGGTCTGAATTTTCCGAAGACAATTTTGTTGCTAAAGTTAAGATGGAAGTTGTGGTCATTAAGGACCAGGTAAAATTAGTGCAACTGTCTTGCCATTGTGAGAAGAAATTCAAATTTGTTGCACATATATCTTGAGCAAGTTTCTGCATTAGAATCCATGGAAATTGTGATTAAATTCAAGTATCACTTTATTAGGTTGAAGCTGTCATAGACAAGATAATCGAGGAGGCAAGAACTGGTGAAATTGGTGACGGCAAAATTTTTGGTATAATACAACTGCATTTTTATTAATAACTCAGCTCCTTATCAGCTTATTTCATAAATGTTTGATTAATTTCTATTCTCTGAATCTGCTGTCTTGTTCATTCCCATTAACATTAGTTCTCTTTGCTAGTGGACTATAGCATACATACTGCATCACCACCTTACATGGGGAATATTGGTTGTGCAATTTGAGACAAAATGTTTCTCTGTATAGTAAGGAAATTGGAGATATATTGTTTCCCTTTTTAATGTTAGTGATAAAAGATTCTTGGTTCTAACAATATTTGAATTGACAAGTCATTAGATTTTCTGCATTTCTGATGTGGGAAGGGCCGAGAATCTATGGGCACTTGCGGCATCATGTTTTGTGATAAACTTCTAGTTTTATTCATCATCAATGGTTACAGCCAAGGGAAAAATTCTAGAGCTTCCTATCTCTCCCAACCCTTTAGCTTTACCACTAACAGACAAGAAACATGCCCTCTGGCCCTCCTCTCGCTCTATTTGTATTCCTCACCCACGTCACATTACATCACCTACATCTTGTTCACGAGTGAGTTCCTCCTTCTAACTAATTACATTCCCTCAGCCCTGTTTCCATTTCTCTTGCGCTTCCTCTTGTAAACGCTTCTAATAGGATGCCTATCACTATGGTCAAGAAATTAGCTTAGTGCAAGACTTCCTGACCTGGGAGGGGTTGGAATACTATTCATCAGGTCGGAATGTAAATACTTGTGTGCTCTCATGAAAAGTAGATCTATTTTATGCTGCTACCGTACTTGGAATCACTCCCAAGTCTCTGACTCTCTAGATTTTTAAACTTATTTTTATTGTTTCAATGAATACACATCATGTGAAATTGTTGACTAAAGGGTAGTTTTAAATTGCCACTCATATATAGCTGACTGTTTATTGATTTTTAATACAAAGCACATGGACTTTATTTGAGTAATCATATGCCCTATGCTTGCAATCTGGAGCAGCACGTATTTAAATGCAAACACATTCAGAAAAAGAGTTCTCATTTCAATTTCATTTGCTACTGAAGCCTGCCCTTTTAGGCTCCTATCAAACTTGTAGCTAAATTTTCCATTTTTCGCAGTGACACCAGTTGCAGATGTGATTAGAGTTCGTACAGGTACCCTATCAGCCTCTGCTAACGATCCAAATTTCTAGTTACCAATATGAATTTTCAAAGCATTAAGGCGATTTCAACTTCATTTTTATACATCTCTGAAATGATGCATAATTCCCAGGTGAACGTGGAGAAAAAGCGGAGAGGATGACGGGTGGGCGATACGACATGTCTGTTAATGAAGTGTAAGAAGAGCACGAGTTGGTAGGTAAAGCTGTTTCGAGTTTGCAACTTCTTTTCTTTCCATGGTCCCGCGCTACCTTCCTCTCAGGTTTGCCGTCCTGTGTAGAAGAAGAGAAATAAAAGAAATTGTTAGTCAGATAAGTTTCTATCTCGTGAAAGCATCGGACCTGTAACTGTAAATATGTAATTTCCTCATGTTGTCATGAAAATTAACCAAATTCGGCAATAATCAGTGCTTAAGCCACTGTACCATTTCCTAATGCTGATCTGATTTGATTGTAAATCCAAGAACATGAGCTGTGTTTTACCATATTTACCTTTTTCTTTTTCCCCCTTTTGATCCATGCCATATTTGCTTGGACTTGCCCGTCGCTACTGTTTATTTAAACTTCTTGTCCAAATTCAAGAGAATGAGTAGATTTCTGAAGCGTTGAATTGTGCACATATTGGCTATCAAATATCCCTCATTTGTGAGATGGGTAACAAAAGATTCATATCAAGTTATTGTGGTTGAGACTACATTGGTCTAGTTATCTTTTTGTTTGTTTGTTTTTTCTTCGTACAATGTGAAGGTGGGGATTTGAACTCATGATTTTTTGGTCGGAGATAGGTTAACCAGTTAAGTCATGTTTAGGTTGATTTTTTATTTTTTAGTTAAAATAATGCTATTAAAACCCAATATAAACGCTTGAATATTCAGGATTTTTGTTTCTCTTCTCTGACGATATTGATGTATAGTCAAATTTGATAGGGATGATAATGGAAGTTTTATGTATTAAATGAAAATTAAGGTCAAAGTACATAGGCTAAAAGGTAAATTTATTCTAAATTCAACTAACAAATTAATTTCTTCAAGATGTAACTTTAAATATGAAAATTTTGAACAGGTACTTTTTGGGTAAAAATTTTGAAACAGATTTTTAGCATGCAACCTTGACCTTATTGTGCATAAATCTCGAACCGAACAGGTTGTTACAATTTAGGACATACAAAATTATTCATCCTAACTATCATAATTATATATTTATATATAGATATAATAAGATAAAAATATGCTTTGTCTCATATAAAAAAAAACTTTTAAATTATATGTTCGACAGTGGCAATATTTATTTTACAATTGCTATTTTCATGAATAATAAAGTATTATATTCAAAGTAAATCGACATTTTTGTTTGAAAAAAAATCGATTGAAGAAATATCAAATTATCTTACAAAAGTATTATAAATATGAATAATTTAAGATATATCTCATTTGTACTTAAAAAATGATATATCTCATTTGCAAAATTGTAATACTAATTTTGTAGAAAATTCTTTAAAATTGGAATTGGTTTTGGGAACGGATCAATACCATCCGGATTCCGGATAAAGAAACCGATCCGAGATTCGAATTTCCGCCAAACGGCACTTGCAATCTAAGCAACGTCATAACGGCGTCACCGAACCAAACGGCAAAAACCAAAAAATAACGGAGCAAACAAACGTTTCCTCACGGCATCACAATATTCTTTTTATTGCTATTATTATTATTTTTTTGCGTTTATAAAAATAGAGTCCTCATAAATCGCGAGAGCGCATTTGATCGTGAAGGACAGTTCTCTCTTGTGTGCAAGAGAGAGAGATCTATTTGGGGCCGATCGCTCAAATCCGCTCTCTTCAATTCCGTAAGTTATTCCCCACCCTCCTCATTTTTCTCCAAGATCTGTCCATAATCCTGCCAATTTCCCCTTCAATTTTGATCCCCTCCCACTTGGATCTGTGCTCCTGGTGATTTCCTCTTCTTGTTTTTTCATTTCCGGATTGATTGTTCTTTCGTGGGGTTTTCATTGATTTGTATTTTCTGATCTGGGTTTCTGATTCCACCGCCTTGATTTTGTTCTTCTGGATCTGACCCTCCTTTGCTCTGGATTGCACATGTTTGCTTTTTGTGGGATTTGGCCGCGTTTAACTGATTTTTTTGGGTGTTGTTCGCTGGATAGGTTTCCTTGGTTCTGGATCGGGCAGTCTTATTGGGTTTTTTTGATTGATTGATTTGGTTGTGGTAGTGGTATAGCGTTCACTTGTTTTTGGTTTGGTTTGTGAATGAAAATGGCGTTACGGTCTCGATTGCGGTTTCAATTTTTGAATTCTAACGCCGGATCTTTACATTATTGGCATACTCGTTCTGTTTTTTAATGATTCTGGCCTGTTGTATTGTATTCAGTTTACGTGAAATATGGGGCTGTCTTTCACCAAGCTTTTCAGCCGGCTCTTTGCCAAGAAGGAGATGCGTATTCTCATGGTGGGTCTTGATGCAGCTGGTAAGACGACAATTCTTTACAAGCTCAAGCTGGGAGAGATTGTCACCACTATTCCCACCATTGGTAAGTCGTTTTTATATTCTGTTATTGATTTTGTTTAATAGTTAATGGAGGAACTGAAGGTTTCTGTTTAAAACAATTTGATGCTTCTTGTTATAACTATACATAACTATTGGACGTGCTTATTTTACTTGGTAGTTCCCTGTTTGTTTGCATCGTCGTCATCATCATCATCACAAAGAATGAAATCATTATAGTGGATCTTGCTCTATCTTTATGGACACAAAATCACAGAAGAATATTGGATGATTAATCTAATAAAAAACCTAGGCCCTGCCACGACTCCCATCTATGATTAATAGTATGCCCTCAACTATTCTCAGTAGTAAAGGAGGAATATTTCTTTTGTAATTTTGGACTAAATTAAGGCTTGAATGAATCATACAATCATAACTTTCTGTTAGAGTTGGCCACAAGGTTCAATGAATGTGATTTTTGAAATGTCGGTTGATAAGAACAGTGATCTGTTTTTAGGCTAAATTCTTCAGACTGAATATTATTCTAGTTTCTGTAAAATCAACTCTATGTGACTATGTTTTTAATTATACCATGATCTTAGTTAGTGTTTACTCTTGATGAAAAAAAGGGAGAATGTGATATAAGAAGCGCAACTGACTTGCACATGATTGTTCAGGTTTTAATGTTGAGACTGTGGAATACAAGAACATCAGCTTCACTGTCTGGGATGTTGGTGGCCAAGACAAGGTACATTGATTAATCTTATTCTGTGATGTTGGCTTTCTACTTTCTCTGTTTGATCAATCTAGGTGCTAGACTTCTGATGGCGTGCTTGGAATCATTTCTTATTTTAGTAGAAAGTTCTTTGAGTATGGTATACATGTAATTTGATAGATAATTCTTTTTAATCAGTTGATGCGTCAAGTTCTGGCTTCAAATATGGCCTTTTTCTTTTTCCTTATTTTAGCTGGATTTTTCAGTCACAAGTATAGATTTTACGAGCCAATCCTTTTTCAACTTTCTTAAGAGTGTTGGGGTTTGAATTTTATATGTAGCACTTGCAAATAATTATACATTTGTGCTTCCACGGACTCGGTTTCTAGCCAATATCTAGCACATGGGTTAAATATGAGTTGTCTCTTTGTTCTCTATACTGATTTGATGTCTGTTATGTTCCAAGATCCGACCATTGTGGAGGCACTATTTCCAAAACACCCAAGGACTTATTTTTGTGGTGGATAGCAATGACAGAGACCGTGTTGTTGAAGCCAGGGATGAGCTGCACAGAATGTTGAATGAGGTACTCATAATAAAAACCAAGAAGACTTCACAGCTTCTGCAACAGCTACCGCAAACAACTGCTTCGTGCTAGTTTGTTGTCTAGATTATAACATGAGTTTTACTTGCAGGACGAGCTGAGGGATGCAGTGCTTTTGGTATTTGCCAACAAGCAAGATCTTCCCAATGCCATGAATGCTGCTGAAATCACCGACAAGCTTGGTCTTCACTCCCTCCGACAACGTCACTGGTACATTAGATGATCATCGAACTCATTACATTTGTGAAAATTCTTGTGCTGGTTTAAACTTTAAAGGTATAAACCATCCTGAAATCCTGTTTCAGGTACATTCAGAGCACATGTGCCACATCCGGTGAAGGGCTGTATGAAGGACTTGACTGGCTCTCAAACAATATTGCCAACAAGGTAAATGGCAATGCTCTACGTTCAAATTCAATGCACACGTTCACTTCAATTTTATTTTGTCTTAGAATAACCATATTTTGACTATCGAGTTTTTGGGCTCTGTCTGATAACAATTTAGTTTTGTGTGTTTGAAAACTATGCAGGCTTCCTTGCAATTGCTTTAGTACGTTTTTTCATATTTCAATTGCTTTATTATGTTTTTCATATTTCTTAAAAATACATTTGGTTTTTTAGACAAATTTAAAAAGAACAAGTTTTAAAAACTATGTATATATATTTTTTAGATTTCATAATGTGGCTTATACGTTTTCAATGTCTGTTAGAAGAGATGAAACAAGTTTAAAATAGAAAACCAAAAACAAAAAGGTTATCAAATGGGCCTTAATAGTATTGGCTTTTTTTTTTAAACTTCTAAAATGTGAAATTTTATTGAAAAAGAAGTATATTCAAAAGAAACAAGAGATATGACTTGATTCATATTCTTCGGGCTGATGATGATTGTTTGTTGTTCCTCCTTTGCAGGCGTAGATGGCTTTCTTTGAGCTTGCATTGCTTCTGGAAATTCAAATTTATGTCATTTGTCCCCTTGTTTTTGGGCATATTTTTGTTGCATTACCTGATCTATACGATGTTCCTACTTGATGATATTCTAAGATCTGCCTTTGATTTCCTGAATAATTAAAGAAAATTTTGAAGTCTTTCTCATTCTCATGTTCATGTTATCGACTCAATAGCATTGTTTTTATGTAATGAATTCATGATGTTCTTAAATAGATGTATTCCGTACGAGAGCCATGCTTGTTATTTGAAGTTGTTTGGAAACACCATTATATATTAGTCTCTACTTGTGGTTCCACAGTAATAGCATATATATATGTCCCGTGTGGTTACACTATAGAGGTTTCTTATAATTGGGGTGTCGATGACCCTCCACTACTGTAACTGACATTGTGAGATTTGAGATTTGTATTTGAATGGAGGGAACCATGGCTACGTGTCCTGTAAGGCTTGAATCGGGGAAGGGTATCCCCACTCGACCATAAGCTCACTACACCACCACATGTTGAGGGTTCCTTATAAGACAAATCTAGATCCTGCTTCTTCATTATCAGCTTAACCAGCTTATTCCGTTCAAGTTTCTTCATACCAATTACTCAAAGTGCACTCAAGACCCTCTGCATCTGCAAGTACATATCATATCATGAGCTACTTTCCATATTTTGAATTCTTTTGGCTCTTTCCTTCATTGGATCTGTGCTGCAACTCTCAATTAGTGTTCTTTAATTTTCCTTCTTTGGATCCTTT